CAGTAAAAACAGTGAAATATTATTACAATTTAAAAATAATGAATTTTCAGCATCATTACTCCAGTCTTCAGTGTCACATGATCTTCAGAAATCATTCTAATATACTGATTTGCTGCTCAAGAAACATTTCTGATTATTATCAATGTTGAAAACAGTTGTGCAGCACAATATTTTTGAGGAAACCGTGATACATTTTATTTTTCAGGATTCACAGATGAGCAGAAAGTTCAAAAGAACAGCATTTATTTGAAATAGCAATATTTTGCAACATTATAAATGTCTTTACTGTCACTTTTGATCGATTTAATGCGTTCTTGGTGAATAAAAGCATTAATTTATTTCAAAAATAATCTTATTGACCCCAGACTTTTGAACAGTAGTGTCTAATCAGTTGTTCTTAGACATATGGAAAACAGATGCCAGCATAGAGAAAAAGAGACGTACTGTGTGATGGAAGATGGAAAGAGAAGGAGAAGATGAAAGGGGGTTCAGAGATGAAAGAGATTGAGAAAGGGTTTACAATGTTAAGAGAGCGAGAAGGAGGGATGGACGAATGGAGAGAGACCAACTCCACCTCGAATTGTCCTCAGCTTTCCAACGACTCTCTGATCTAGCCATCTCTTAGACACTCAAATGCACTGAGACTTTTGCTGATGATGTAGCGACCTATAAATAGCCTGTAATTTTTACCTCTGCCATCTTGGCCTAATTTCCTGATTTCCCAGAGCTCCCAGTTCTTCCAGCACTTCCTGTGGAATTGTGATTGTGGGACGGTGCAGAGGAACCTCGGGAGTATTGATGTTTTTGGCATGCTGATTTATGACCGGGAACCAAGAGAGAGATGAGGATTGCTGACAAGCCAGAACTGTCTACGGAAAAAATGCAACCCAAGTTTAATTGCTGCTTTACATCAAATCAAAAAGAGCAGAATTTATTGAAACATAACTTTTTTTGCTATTCCTTGATAAATAAATGTATTAATTTCTTTCACAAAAGACAAACTTACTGACCCCAAATGGTGAACAAAGAAAAAGATGAGCCTTGTTCTCGCTATACTGACAAACCATAACTCATGTATACGGTAAAAACTGCAAAAAATGTAAACCAATTGAATAAGTGCTGCTTTAAATCAAATCAAAGTTAGTGACAAGTTCATGACTTTTTAATGTTAACTAAATAATCATGATGGAAATTGACTGATGCTAATTCACAAAATCAAGTAGAAATATACAATGATTTATACAAATTCCAGTGGTTTATATTTATATTTATAATGCTTTATTATATTGAAGTTATTTTTAATTCAGGATATTTATATATAAATAAAATAATATGTATCTCAGTTGTTTTCAACATTGATAATAATCAGAAATGTTTCTCGAGCAGCAGATCAGCATATTATACTGATTTCTGAAGATCATGTGACACTGAAGACTGGAGGAATGATGCTGAAAATACAGTTTTAACAACCCACATGAAGTCCAGAGACATCTATTAAACTAGTTTTCATTTACTGTGAAAATAGCTTCGCTGCTGCAGTTGGGTCAGACCCAAAGGACAGACAGTTTTCCTATGAATTAATTAGTAGAAAAGTCAGTTTCTCCTGTGCATTTGTGCCTTTCTTATGAGGAAAATGAGGGAGTTTATCTCCTGCATTCCTTTTAGGCCATAAAACCAGTGATATCAGCATTGGTTACCATGGAACCAGAGGCCTGTTCTGCTTTTCTGAGGTGTTAGGTGCATTTCGGGGGAAGGGTCCATAGACCCTCGTAATTGGCCATTTGGTTAGGTGATGGGGAGTTCGATATTATTTGTTAAATATAACAAAAAGTTGTGTGTCTGATTGGTCCAAATGCTACAACTTTTTAATGTTAACTAAATAATCATGATGGAAATTGACTGATGCTAATTCACAAAATCAAGTAGAAATATACAATGATTTATACAAATTCCAGTGGTTTATATTTATATTTATAATGCTTTATTATATTGAAGTTATTTTTAATTCAGGATATTTATATATAAATAAAATAATATGTATCTCAGTTGTTTTCAACATTGATAATAATCAGAAATGTTTCTCGAGCAGCAGATCAGCATATTATACTGATTTCTGAAGATCATGTGACACTGAAGACTGGAGGAATGATGCTGAAAATACAGCTGCGCATCACAGAAATACATTACATTTTAAAATAGATTCATATAGAAAACTGTTATTTTAAATATTATATTTCAGAATTGTACTATTTTTACTGTATATTTGAGTATAAGAGTTTTCTTCCAAAAAGTAAAAACATATAAATTGTTTGTTTTTTTTAGCATCATTTTTACAGACAGTTTGGTTCAGGTTGAAAACTGAAAAAGAAAAGAAAAGAAAAAGAAGTGAAGTTGCACTCATGTCCGTTGGAGAATTCAAGTAAAATGATTTTGAATTGAGTTGTGTACTGACTTATTAAAGCTAAGCAGTTCTTTTAGATTAAGTTTTAACAACCCACATGAAATCCAGAGACATCTATTAAACTAGTTTTCATTTACTGTGAAAATAGCTTCGCTGCTGCAGTTGGGTCAGACCCAAAGGACAGACAGTTTTCAGGTCTTCAGGTAATAATCTTGGTTGTCCACTCAAGATCATCTTAAGATTAATACTTGCTCATTTATTTACCTTTGGCAGATACTTTCATCAAAACAACTTGCTTTGCATTGAAGGTGTAAAATTTATATTCATGCATTTCCTGGGAATCAAACCCGTTGACCTTGGTGTTTTCTACTGTCTGAGCAACAGGAATATAGTTTAAAGGGGTCCTATTATGCTCTTTTACAAAGTCTTGATTTTGTTTTGGGGGTGTACTAGAACAGGCTCTCATTCTAGGTTGTTTGAAAAATACATTCTTTTTCACATATTTTACATTATTACAACACCTCTCTCCCCAGTCTGGCATGAACGGCTCGAATAGTTCCTGTATCACATGAAGGCCCGCCTTCTGAAATACGAAATGTGCTGTGATTGGTTAGCTGGGCCAGTGTGTGTTGTGATTGGTTAGCTGGGCCAGTGTGAGTTGTGATTGGTTAGCTGGGCAAGTGTGTGGTGTGATTGGTTAGCTAGGCCAGTGTGTGCTGTGATTGGTTAGCTGGGCCAGTGTGTGCTGCGATTGGTTAGCTGGGCCAGTGTGTGTTGTGATTGGTTAGCTGGACCAGTGTGTGCTGTGATCGGTTAGCTGGGCCAGTGTGTGCTGTGATCGGTTAGCTGGACCAGTGTGTGCTGCGATCGGTTAGCTGGACCAGTGTGTGCTGTGACTGGTTAGCTGGACCAGTGTGCGCTGTGATCGGTTAGCTGGACCAGTGTGTGCTGCGATCGGTTAGCTGGACCAGTGTGTGCTGTGACTGGTTAGCTGGACCAGTGTGCGCTGTGATCGGTTAGCTGGACCAGTGTGTGCTGCGATCGGTTAGCTGGACCAGTGTGTGCTGTGACTGGTTAGCTGGACCAGTGTGCGCTGTGATCGGTTAGCTGGACCAGTGTGTGCTGCGATCGGTTAGCTGGACCAGTGTGTGCTGTGACTGGTTAGCTGGACCAGTGTGCGCTGTGATCGGTTAGCTGGACCAGTGTGTGCTGCGATCGGTTAGCTGGACCAGTGTGTGCTGTGACTGGTTAGCTGGACCAGTGTGCGCTGTGATCGGTTAGCTGGACCAGTGTGTGCTGCGATCGGTTAGCTGGACCAGTGTGTGCTGTGACTGGTTAGCTGGACCAGTGTGCGCTGTGATCGGTTAGCTGGACCAGTGTGTGCTGCGATCGGTTAGCTGGACCAGTGTGTGCTGTGACTGGTTAGCTGGACCAGTGTGCGCTGTGATCGGTTAGCTGGACCAGTGTGTGCTGCGATCGGTTAGCTGGACCAGTGTGTGCTGTGACTGGTTAGCTGGACCAGTGTGCGCTGTGATCGGTTAGCTGGACCAGTGTGTGCTGCGATCGGTTAGCTGGACCAGTGTGTGCTGTGACTGGTTAGCTGGACCAGTGTGCGCTGTGATCGGTTAGCTGGACCAGTGTGTGCTGCGATCGGTTAGCTGGACCAGTGTGTGCTGTGACTGGTTAGCTGGACCAGTGTGCGCTGTGATCGGTTAGCTGGACCAGTGTGTGCTGCGATCGGTTAGCTGGACCAGTGTGTGCTGTGACTGGTTAGCTGGACCAGTGTGCGCTGTGATCGGTTAGCTGGACCAGTGTGTGCTGCGATCGGTTAGCTGGACCAGTGTGTGCTGTGACTGGTTAGCTGGACCAGTGTGTGCTGCGATCGGTTAGCTGGTTAGCTGGACCAGTGTGTGCTGTGAACGGTTAGCTGGACCAGTGTGTGCTGTGATTGGTTAGCTGGACCAGTGTGTGCTGTGATCGGTTAGCTGGACCAGTGTGTGCTGTGATTGGCAGCACTCGGCGCCTGGTCGGGAAATGTCACGCCCCTTACCATAGCCGCCTGTTTGCTTCAGTGTAAATATTGCGTCAAAATCAAATCAATTTGAGCGCGATTTAAACCCAGATGATTGTAACCACTCTAAGTTCATCTGTCTTGGGAAAGCTAGCGTGTCTCCGACATAGTGATAACACTCTTTGCCTTCTCTAGTGCAGCTCAACCAGGTCTCTCCCATTCGTCGATATTTGTGATATCACAAATCCCGGAAAATATGCGTTGTAGTCCAAACGAGACGTTCGTTGTAGTTTTTGAAAAGTGATTTCTGTTAAATAAAATATCTCCTTTTGAAGTGGACTTTGAGCTTTTTTATGCTCAAACAGTAACTTTACAGACTAACTAAAGTTGAAAAAGTGAAAAAGCATAATAAGACCTCTTTAAAGAATTGATTTGATAGAATATCTCAATTTTATTGAAAAGCAGAAATCATGTATAGAATGGTAAGATCCATCCAGACAGATGTGTGAGCAGCAGTGTGGATGTGAGGGAGGAGGGCCTCGTCTCTGGTGTAATCCCCACGGTCCCCTGTCTCTGCTCTGCATTCAGGATCACCACCACCGCGGCCTGTATGATGGACCTGCGGCGATACCCGCTGGATGAGCAGAACTGCACGCTGGAGATCGAGAGCTGTGAGTGATTCTCAGATTCACACCATCTGTCTAGACGTCAAATGATAGTATTTTTAGGACAGATATTTCTAATAATTATTTTTATGTTGAACTGATAACCAGATTTAAATTATTATTTTTTTTTTATAAAAGCATAAAATTATTAAATTATTACATGTAGTATTATCATTATTATGAATAAAAGCAATAAAATACATAATATGTCATGTGTAATATGTAATGATAATAATATTGATTTATAAATAGTATATTATTATGAAATATGTAATAGTTATTATTATTATAATTGTTGTTGTTGATGATGTTATTATTTTCAGAATGCAGAACATAATATTGAAAAATATTATAAAAAACAATAAAATATGTAATAAAAATAATAATTTATATTATATTTTTGTTGTTTTTAATGTTTTTTATATATGCCACAAATATAATAGTATTAATAATAATGATAATGATGATGATAATTATTATTATTATTTACTATCTAACAGTATGGAGAATTATTTTTATTTGACTTTATTTTGTTTTTTTAATAATAAAATACTGAACATATTATTTAAAAAATAAAATACGTAATAGTAATAATAATAATTTTTATTATAATGGTATTTTTTTTGTTTTACATTTTTTAAATATTTGTCCCATAAATATAATAGCATTAATGATAATAATAATAATAATAATAATACGAATGATGATGATAATAATAATAATAATAATAGTAATACTACAAACATAAATTATTACATCAATAGTTTTGACCAAATATGCAAATTAATTAATTAATTTGATTTATCTACAGCCTATATATATACTATATATTAGTACTGTCAAACATATATATAAATACACACACATACAGTATATATTTTGAAAATATGTATGTTTATACATTTATATATTCATATTGTTATATTTTATATTATATATAAATATATTTAATATATAAAAATAACATATTATACATAATAAATATACACAGTACACACATATATATTATGTAAACAAAATTTTTTATTTTGGATGCGATTAATCGTTTGACAGCACTAATATATATATATATATATATATATATATATATATATATATATATAGAATATATATACTACGGCCAGCACAATTAATGTAATTTCTTAAATAAATTATATAATATAAATATATAAAACAAAAATGGATAATTTATATACATTTAATACAAATTTCTCTAGGTATAATTTCAAACATTGATCATTAATACCAACAAGTGTTTCTAAAAGTGTCTCATATGTTGCAGATGAAAAATGGAATGTATTTTTAAGAATTCTAATTTAAATAGAATCCAACTGGCTTAGACCTGGCAACCCGGCTTTCTTTCGCTTTCTCTCCCACACTCACGTTTCCTTTCCCATGTCTGTACCCTTTCACGCTCACAATTGCGTGTTTTCCCGTAATTTTCATCTGTGTATCTGTGCAGAAGTGTTTCACGCGAGCTAATGAGACACAAGCTAAAGCCTCCTTTTCGCTGATCTACTTCAGAAGCAGATTTTAAAGCAGAAGCTCCGCGCTCGAGTCGCTCACCTCTGATTCCTTTTTCTCTGGTTTCTCTCAAGGCCCGAGGGAATAATGGAGCCGTAGCAGTAAAGTGATCTGTTGACAGTAATCAGCCAGTCAGTTGACAGAATCAGACGCGGTGGCACAGAGATAATAGATTTAATGGAAAGTGAAACACCAGTCCTTCCCAGTCCTTCCCAGTCCAACAGCATTTTTCTCTAGAGTCCTCAGCTCTCTCATGCTTTTCTCGCTTTCATCTCTCGCCATTTAAAAGCCTTTTCAGACAGCGAGGTGAACACGACGCAACCTAACCAAACACATCTTATGACTGTCACATGGCTCAAGCTCTTGTCGTATTTACATCACGTTGCTCTCTGGCCCATTAAACCGAAGGAGAAAGCCGTGTTTGTTATCTTTGTCGCTGCATTAATGCTTTATGAGGCCTGCAGCTTTGCTGGCCTTTTTAAGTCTGTACCTGGTTGCCAAGTCATGCAGAGATAACTCCCTTGAATATGAAGAAATCAGAAGCTCATCGTTAATTATTCAAAACACTAAATAGGTCACTGGTTCTCATTATAAGTTGCACGCAGATGGAGAAGGAACCGCAGCGAGGACGGAGATCAAGCAAACACACAGATTCCTTCACGGATGTGGATGTGTGTCTGTTTCATAACCAGCTGTCCCCTTACATCATTTAATGATCACTTGTTTTGAAATCTAAATGTCACCGACAATATTTATACAGCACTTTCCATGAATACAATGCAATTTGGTAGCCCGTTGGTTTATGTAAAGTATTTAAAACACATATTTGTTGGATATGTTAGAAAATGGGTTCTTAAAATCTCCAAAATCTTATGTGAGACCCTGGACCTCAAAACCAGTCATAAGGGTAAATTTTTCGAAATTGAGATTTATGCATCGTCTGAAAGCTGAATAAATAAGCTTTTGCAGGCGATTGGCAGTTTTAAGAGTTCCCTCGCAGGTCACCGCTGGAGAAGCGCGGAGAGATAAATATGGGGCTAGAAAACGTCATCCTCTAAACACATCCACAGCGCTCCCAAAACAATCCCCGGATAAAATCAGGGACATTTTAGGAGGCAATGCTCAAAAATAAATAACTGACGGTACAGAATTAAGATGAGAAATTTTACAAAATATGTGCATAAAGCTGTTTTTTATAAACTATGCTCTTAAAAAAAAGGTGCTTAAAAGGTTCTTCACAGTAATGCCATAGAAGAACCATATGTGACCCTGGAGCACAAAACCAGTCATAAGGGTCAATTTTCATCTGAAAGCTGAATACATAAGCTTTCCATTGATGTTTGGTTTGTTAGGATAGGACAATATTTGGATGAGACACAACTATTTGAAAATCTGGAATCTGAGGGTGCAAAACAATCCAAATATTGAGAAAATCATCTTTAAAGTTGTCCAAATGAAGTTCTTAGCAATGATTATTACTAATAAAAAATTAATTATATTTACGGTAGGAAATTTACTAAATATCTTCATGGAACATGATCTTTACTTAATATCCTAATGATTTTTGGCATAAAAGTGAAATGTATAATTTTGACCCATACAATGTATTGTTGGCTATTGCTACAAATATACCCCAGCGACTCAACACTGCTTTTGTGCTGCAGGGTCACGTATCATGATATGAGTAATTTTATATCACGATGACAATATATCATGTATCACTCTTAAAAATAAAGGTAGTTTGCATAGTTTTCACTGTGTAAATAAAATTCCGTATTTAAGCTACAAAAGTGATTTAGTCGAGCGGTGCGATTTTCTCTCACTGTTGTTTGATTAACATGAATGACATGAATGAAAGACAGGAGGAAAAATAGGCAGCTTCCTCTTTAAAACCGAACATCCGGATCCAATATACTGTTACACACGTGTTTTCTTTCTCAGCTGTTTACTATCTCTTAAGACCTGAACGATTGTGTTTATGAGGATACTTGCAAAGACGGGCATTTAGACACATATAAGCATGTGTATTTAACTGTTCAAGGCCAATACAGCAACAAAAATATTCAGACGCTCTATGAGCAGCGGATTCATGTGCGCGGCCTGCGGAAACAGTCTGACAGACCACAACGCTTGTCACGAATATTGGTAACAGGGTTGAAAACAAATCTAACCCCATTAATTAATATAAAACAAATATCTTATTATATTTACTAATATGCAAAATATTGTAGGAAAATAAAACATTGAATAAATATTTATCTTTAAATTTTGGGAAATATAACAAAAACAACTAGCTATTGAGTGATGTAATTTAGAGATGTAATATGTAATTTGAGTGATATTTACAACCCTGTTACTCATGTTTGCATCGTTTTTAGTTTGTTTTGTTTATTTTTTAATGCTATAAGTTTTGTCTATTTATTTCTAAAATGTTTTAAACTGTATTTAGACATGCCACGGATATTGGTAACAGGGTTGAAAACAGATCTAACCCCATTAATTAATATAAAACAAATTTACTTATAATATTTACTAATATGCAATATTTAAATGGACAACCTGAGGATGATGATCAACGTTTTTGAGACAAACGAAGGTTTTTGTTTCGAAAACAAAAAATATAGAAAAATAAAAACAGATTCAAAATATTTATAAAAACTATAATATTATTTCAGTGATACTAAAGTAACACTGGTTATTGCATGATCAAAGTTACATAATTTAGATCACATAACCAAATTTTCACATAAACAACCTTATCCCTTTTTTCTTGTTGATTGCATTTGTACCAAACGCTGTAGTCCAAACGAGCCATTTGCTGTAGTTCTTGAAAAGGGATTTTTTAAAAACGAAATATCTCCCTTTGGAGTGGACTTTGAGATTTGTAACTTTCTAGATCTTTTTTATGCCCAAACATACACACTACACACTGACTAAAATTAAAAAAGTTTAAATTAAAATAATAGGACCCCTTTAACCTTCAACCCTGTTACCCAAAATATTGTAGGAAAAAAACATTGAATAAATATTTATCTTTAAATTTTGGGAAATATAACAAAAACTACAACAACAACTAGCTATTGAGTGATGTAATTTAGAGATGTAATATGTAATTTGAGTGATATTTACAACCCTGTTACTCATGTTTGCATCGTTTTTAGTTTGTTTTGTTTATTTTTAATGGTATAAGTTTTGTCTATTTATTTCTAAAAGGTTTTAAACTGTATTTAGACATGCCACGGATATTGGTAACAGGGTTGAAAACAAATCTAACCCCATTAATTAATATAAAACAAATTTCTTATAATATTTACTAATATGCAATATTTAAATGGACAACCTGAGGATGATGATCAACGTTTTTGAGACAAACAAAGGTTTTTGTTTCGAAAACAAAAAAGATATAAAAATAAAAACAGATTAAAAATATTTATAACAACTATAAAAACATTTCAATGATACTAAAGTAGCACTGGTTATTGCATGATCAAAGTTACATAATTTGGATCACATAACCAAATTTTCACATAAACAACCTTATTCCTTTCCTCTTGTTGATTGCATTTGTCAATCTTAAGCTTCAACTCTGTTACCCAAAATATTGTAGGAAAAAAAACTAAAAACATTGAATAAATATATATCTTTAATTTTTGGGAAATAAAAAAAAAAACTAAAACTTTTGGTCCCAACTAGCTATTGAGTGATGTAATTTAGAGATGTAATATGTATGTGATATTTACAACCCTGTTACCCATGTTTGTTTTGTTTATTTTTAATGGTATAAGTTTTGTCTATTTATTTCTAAAA